TAAAGCAGAATCTACACGCTCACTGTGGCATGGTCATTTCTGAGAATGAACAAACTCAAAGAACCATATTGTTTCTCTTTATCCAAGAAGACCTTTCCTCCAAGTCTCCTAAATTTAAAAAGAAATCTTGTTGAACTATTTTGTTTCAAATATCTAGATTTTCTTCTTCTGCCCTCCCAATTCCCAAAGAAGGCTGGGAGGAGGGAGGGGAAAAAAAGAGAAAGTTATTTCTCTCGGCAACAGTTAAATAGACACCACCACTCCCTGGTTGGTACCAGAAGTCCCCTTGCAAAATATAACTATTTTTAAAATAAAATAATATGCCTAAAGTCATCAATATGGTCTTGCCCAGTTAAGAATGTCCAACAGCTTCATGGAAATGGATTTCAGGCTTTATATCAGGTGATTCCTATCCCTGGATAACATATTGTTTGTCCTAAAAGAGTAGCCTAGAAGTCCTTGTCAAGTAGAAAATGAATTCTTTATCTCATCTTTTCATTGGCACTGAAGCACTTTCCCCAACTGCCAGTCCTCAATTTATTGGGGGATGTCTACAAATCCCACTTCCTGCTCTCCCTTCTTCCTCCCCTAAAAGTAGTAATGTTATTACCCATGACAGCATCACCTACCCTCAGGAAATCTTGTCCTAAGGCTAATCCTAATCTGGAGTAGGTCTGCTTGCTGAGAAGCGAAAGTCCAAACATTTCAGGCTTGGGGAATCAGAGCTGGAGATGAAAGAGGTCTTGAATTGTCTTTTTTCTATACTGGCCAAATCTTAGCTTCCATCATGGACGAGGACCCAAAGCCCAGCCATGGAATGTGCAGCCACAGACCTGGGCAGGGCAGTGACTAATGAGTTTGTGTATTCCTTTGGATAGGAAAGATGTCATTCACAAAACAGCCTACTCTGAAAGGCACCTGTTCAAAAAGGTCCATAAGCATCAGGACCCAAAAAGATGTCTCCTGCTTCCCTCTTCTGAACCTCAAGGTTCTGTCTGAATCTCAGTTGCTGACAAATTGCTGGCTCATGTTTGCGGAAATATAAACAGATCCTGGTTGGAGCTGAAACAGAGATGGATGAAAAGCACTTCAAAGCTGACTGGCCCCTGGGCAGACTGTTCAAACTTACTACATGTGCAGTCCCAGCACACGTGAGGTTTTCAATAAAGATGGCAACTGAGATTTATAAAAAATGCTGTAAGTGGCCTTATCAATGGGGCGGGGGATGGAAGGTAGAGAGAGAATTTGGAACTCAAAAATTTTAACAATGAATGTTTTATTTTTTTTAAAAAAATTGTACATGTAATTGGGAAATATTTGACAAAATAAATAAAAATATATTTTTAAAAAATAAATGCTGGCAGTGGTATTGTGAAGCAAGGGTGTACTTTTTTTTCCTTCTCTCTTTTTTTTGAGGAAGATTTGAAAGAGAAAAGTGATGATGAAAAAGGGGGGGGGGCAAATACCCTTCCCAAATACCAGCTTATCTCCTGACCTCAGAATTGTCAGTGATCTCTGGTGATCTCGTTGGCCTTTTGGCCCCATTAGAAAATGTCACAAGTGTTTAAATGAAAATCCAAGACATGACTGCCAAAGAATCAATTATTCAGCACTGGACACATGCCAGCAAACTTAGCATCACTGAAGACTGCTTTGGGTCCGGGAGGACTGCTGATTCTGGAGAGAGTTAATTATCACCTCATTGATACAGGGGTAATTTTTTAAGCATGCAGGTTGGCTTCTGTGACTCATTAATTAAAATTTAGAGTAATTTTCTAGGCACACTGGTGACTTCTATATCAGGTTGCATGTACCAGCAAGATGTATTCTCTGTACCATCTATTATTGGGAACAGTTTTTATTTCTCTCTCTTCTCTCCTCACTTTCCTCACTGAAGACAAGAAAAATATTCATACCTCAAGCTATCCCTTGATGAGTCCACAGGCATTGAATCAAGATTCTATGGAAAAGTATTAAACAAGCATCCCACTTCTGCATTTTACACTTGCCACCAACAGAAATATTCTGTCCTCTTTGCACAACTCTTATGTCACTTTCACAATTTCATTCCAGAAAGCCTCAACCTAATGATAGTTCATAATTAAATTAAAAGACACACACACACACACACACACATACACACACACACATACTGCTACCCCAAAGTCCAAAAGCAATAAAAAAGAAACATGACCCAGAGCTAAACTAGAAGTGATTAACCTTCCACAGACCTAAGAGCCACTGTTTCAAATGGAGTTAGTGCCCATAGACACTTTTGTATGTGCATTACTGTGCAAACCATAAACATAGCATGGCCCTAGGAAGTAAAGGAGATGGTATCAAAGCCCAAGGGAGCAGACAAAAAAACATTTGACTGTAGCCTCCTTCTCAGAAAGGTCTCTCAGTGGCTGAGTCTTTGAACCCCCAAGTCAGTGGGACACATCAAAATTGAATTCCCTAGTATATATCTTGAGGATCATAGGGGCTTAGAAGTGTACACATGGACGGGGTGGGGGTGGGACGGATGCACAGTACTGTAAAACTTGAAAAAGATTTCCAAAGAACATCTGTATTTAACTGCTCAGATTAAATATGGGAACAGTGGACTACCTCTTCTCCTCTTCCAAAAGGAAAAACTTTCAGTTATTCATGCTTTTTCTGAAGTTATTCTTGAAAAGAAGGGGTTGTGTGTGTATGTGTGTGTACGTGCATGCACGTGTGCACACATGTTGGGGGGAGTGGTGCATGAGAGAATCAGGTATTTTAAATCCAATACTTGTATCTGAAAAACAGACTGATGAGGTAAGACTTAACCAAGAAATGCCATTACTAAAATAGTTCTCAGATCAACTCAACCCTAACATCTAAGGCCATTTTTAGAAAGTGAAAAATACATAGATCTTTTATTATTGCCTGATGGGTTTCTGTCTCAGTCCTAGAGAAGGCTGGGACCCAGAAGTGAAACTGACTCTTGTGTTTTCATCCTCTTCATGCCCACCAAACTCAAAGTCAATTAAATGGCAAGAAAATAATGCTGACCTCTTTTGTCAAGAGGTCTTTGGGTATTTCTTTCTGTACCTCTCTTTCTTTCTTTCACCCAGCAGAGAGAACACTGTTACATACCAAGCATTTATGAACTTTGTGTGTGTGTGTGTCTGTGTAAACTTCCTAACCCAATCAGACCAGCTCAGAATGAAGCTCTGGCACAAAATATTCGGAAAGCTTCCCACCTTTCAACACTCACTGGCATTCCATGATTCCAAATTTGGGGGGGGTAGAAATGAGTCCACATCTTTATTCTTAAAAATATGTCACAATTATACCCCAAAAACAATCAATTGAAAATTGCCTGGTGGTCCTTAAAACAGGCTATTCCGAATAAATGTTTTCTGTGATCTGGATCTTATCAGCATTATGTTCCAAAGTCACCCTCATTTTCCATGTTGTGAAGTACACTCTTAGTTGTTTGGCTAAGCCAGCCAACAGAATCCCCACAAAATATTGGGTCTTCCAGGATTTTAATCTCATCATTGGACACATCATTAATTTCTTTTGAACTATTTTTTCTTTTGCTTCAATTATTCCATGAAACATTTTAAAAACTATACCCCTAACTAAATTTAAATGGCTACTAAATCTCTGGTATGGAACAAGGAATGCATGCTGTCTACCTACCTATATATCTTTCTATCTTAGTGGCCCTACAGTACTCAAACAGGCTTTATTATGGTTACTAAAATTTTTCTTTGAAGCTCAGAATAGGTTATATTCCAGATGGACACAGATACACACACACACACACACACACACACACACACACACTCCCACAAACAAGTCAATTTTATCTACCTTTTTCAAACATTTTCCCCAAACCCAATAGACAACATAAACAGGGCAAAAATCTCTCCTTTATTTGAATAAGAAGAAAACTTCTACCTAAGCATTTCAACTATTCATTAAATCACTTACAAAACAGGTTATTCTTTATCCTCTTTCAATAAATCCTTCTCTGCCTCTCTTTTTTTCTGTCTCACTCCCTTTCTGTGTGTTTCTCTGTCTCAATCTCTTCCTGCAGAATGGAGAAAGAAGATGTATGCCTTGTGAAGTTCAGAAAAAATATATCCAGGCTGCCCATCTCATACACATATACACACAGAGATACACACACACACACACACACACACACACACACACACATATACGTATACATATATACATACATTTTTCTTAGTAGGTTTGTACTTATGAGCCCTTCAGAAAGCATATCTGCATTTTCACTCAAAAAATGGATGCTGGATCAATAATCAACCTGTTGGGGAGACTTCCCCCCAAAATGCAGTAAGAGCAGCAACTAGACACAATTTAGGTGTCTTTGTCTGCATCTTGTAAGTTGGAGAAAGCCAAATGACATTTCCAATCCAAAATCTTGATGACCAAATTCAACTTCAAAACAAAGCAAAACAAAACAACCATCAACAAAGGAGTCGTAACACTTGCATTATCAGTTTTAAAAATCAGGTTGATGTAAAATCCTTCTGGTTAAGGATGTGCTGCAAAAGAGGAGACTTTTTTTTTTTAAACACCAGGTAGAAGAAGACAACTTGCTACTTGAATTTGGATTTCCATTTGAAAAAGAATGAAGACTTTATGCATATTCAATGCATAATTAAAGAGAGGTGATCCAATATACACACATACATGCACACCTCTTTCCCCAAACTTGTAGAACATAGAGCTATGCTAAGTTTCCCTCCCAGAGTTCTTCTTGGGGAATCAAACATTGCATTTGGAGGCTCTGGGACCAAAGTTTCAATTGGGTGCCACGTTCACATGGGCAGTGCGTTTATACATCCACAGGCGGAGGCATGCAATCCAGAAACCACTAAAGAAGTTAACATACAAATACTCACAGTATGACAGTTAGAGAGAAAGGTTCTTCCACCAAAGGCATTCCCACTCCACTACCCTCCACCCTCCAAAAAATTATGGCTTTCCCTTACCTATTACTTTATTTTAGAACTCTGATCAGTTTCTTTATCGGGACCCAGAGTGTTGACCCAGAGGACAGAGGACTTTCAGGACACGCACATGGACTATCGCGCAAGCCATCTTCTCCCTGTCTCTTAGTGGCGACACTGTACGTCTCCTGCAGCTCAGCTCTCCAGCTGCAAACATCTCATTAGACTAATGCATTCAGCACAGGCAGAAAACTCGATTTACCATAGCTACAGCAATGAATTTCCATTACGATGACAGCTTCAACCACATCATGTCCGGAAAACCAGCCAACCACTGGCTTTTAAAGAACACACACATTTTACATGCAGAAAATGAGGCCTGTGTGTAAGATGTTTCCTTCCTCTTAACAGCTAAACTAAGAAAAACGTGCAGGGTAGGTTTTTTGGCAGCCAGAGTAGCAAGGTAAAGCCACTTTTGCTTCTTCAGGAGTCCGTGTAGTTGCAATAGCCAGAATTATGTCCCAATTATCAGAATGGGTGTTCCCAACATTTCGGTTTTAACTACCCCTCCTCTGTTGCCATAGAAACCAGACTGTTACATCGTCTCTTTGTCCCAATCATGCAGCAGTGTGGGCCAACACTGAGCTCATAAAGATATTGGTGATCCGAAGGACCAGTTGTTATACTTCTGACAATGGGAAAAGAAATTAAAAAAGAGGATGGTGTGGATGCTTGGGGTAAGCAGTGGCTTTGCACGTGCGAACGTGTGTGCATAAGTGTGTACACTGTAGATGTTCATATGAAAGATACAAGTACATAGAGCATGGCTATCCAGCATGGTAGCTCTGTAACCTGCCTCCAGTGATATCTCCATGTAAATCTTATTATTGATAATGATTAGATTCAATTCAATAAACATTTATTAAGCTCAAAATTATAATGCACTTTATGGTGACAAAGTGATTTCACAGATTTTTTTCAGATATGAAAACATCTGGTCCCATAGCATAGTATGGCAGAGTATGGCACCCAAAAAGGGAGGTGCGGGGGGAGAAAGCTGAGTAATATATCATTTAGGCTCCTTTGCTCCCTCTGTGTCAAATCAATTTATACTCATAAAGGGTCTTTTTCTTCTCTTTTGCTTTCCTTTTGTAAGGTGGGGCAAGTTTCTCCATTGCCCACTTCATTCACTTCAATTCACTGGGTATTTCCTCAAGACACAACATCCTTTTTTTTTTTTAATAAATATTGTGACCACACACAAGAGTACTCCCTGGGGATATTGCTGGAGTATATGTACATGGAACTAAATAGAAATTGGAACTAATTATGGCATTTGACATAATTTAATGATTTTCAGTAAGTCAAAAATAAAAATAAGTTCTGAACTTTCTTGAGAATATGTGGAAGGTAATATTAGAAACACATGAGGAATCTGTTGCCAAATGATAGAGCTTGGGAGTAAGTTACCTTTCTAAAAGACTTTTGAATTTTAGTTATTGACCTATAAGTAATTAGGCATGCCCATTCACATCCATAAAACAATAATCAACATAAACATGATTATTTTTAAGTACTTTACCCCTGACTTCCTTCAAGTCTCAGTTAAAATCCCATCTTCTGTGAGAAGCCTTTCCCAATCCCCTTAATGTGCTTTTCCCCTGAGATCATCCCAAGTTTGTCCTTTCTATCTTATTTGTATGTAGCTATTTGCATGCTGTCTCCCACATTAGACTGGGAACTCCTTGAGAGCAGGTGTTCTCTTTTTACTTTCTTAGTATCCCAAGTACTTAGCATAGTGTTTGGCATATATTACATGCTTAATAAATTCTTGATGACTTGACTTGACTAGAGGTAAATAGTGGGCTGTACTTGCATAACTATGGAGAGACTGTCGAGGAAATATTCAACCAGCTGTGACTTGGAGAAATTTCTATGAATCCAAAAAAAAAAAAAGATCAATTGAATTATGTACATTTTTAAAAGCACAACAGGAAAGTGTCCAGAATAAAAAACAAAGAGGCCAGAAAAATTCTTTGTGACATTTCTGATAAAAGTCCAATAGCCAAAACCTATTAGGAATTGATGAAAACTTCAAAGTGTAAAACGCAGTTTCCAATAAAGGAGTCATCAAACAATATGAACAAGTATTCTCAGAAGAAGAAACACAAGTTATCAACCAGCACATGAGCCAGTGTTCAAAATCCTTAATAATCAGAGAAATATAAATTTAAACAAGCAGGATGAACTTGAGATCTTAGCTTAAGTAGGTAAACTTGGGTAATTGAGGAAGGAGGGGAGCAATCATTGCTTCCCTTTCCCCTCCTCCCCCCCAAACAAATTGAATTTAATTTAAAATTGGAATAAGAACTATGTTGGAAGATGAGCAATTTGACCTACTCCTCTTTCCCTCTTTGTCATTAAGCAGCATCTATATTCCACTTATGCTGTTGTGTTTATTTATGCACCTGGGCTCATGAGCCATTCCAAAGGATAACAAATAAGTTGTCATGGTTCATTAATGGCCTGTTTCCTCATTTATAAAAGGAGAGGGTTGGACATGATGATCTCCAAGGTCCCTTTCTCCTTAAAGATTTGTTGATCATCTAACAAATGCCTTTGTTGGTTGAGAAGAAAACAGGTCTTGAGGATATCTGATCAGAAACTTCAAACATTTTTATTTTCTTTAGATGGTCAAGACACAAACGCTGAAATAAAAAAAAATGTTCCATGGAGTCAATCTGTCCCAAAGTCAGAGCATTTTTTTTTAAATTCTACCCAGATCTCTACTAGATTGGGACTGAGATAGGTCTTAAACCATTTCTGTCCTTCCTCATTTTCTTTGCAGATGTGATCTGTTGAGATTTGTCACACAGAGGTCATTAGTCTGAGGTAACATTTCAGGATGTTACCAGCAGCAATCAGCATGGATATGGGCAACCCAACAACAGTCCCTGACTCATCAACAGTGACTTTGCAAGTTGAATTTTTTTTCTTAATTTATTTTAGTTTTCAACATTCACTTCCATAAGCTTTTGAGTTTTAAATTTTCTCCCCCTCCCTCTCTTCCTCCCTCTCCAAGACAGTGTGTAATCTGATATAAGCTCTACATATACATTCCTATTAAACTTATTTTCACATTAGTCATGTTGTAAAGAAGAATTAGAACCAATAAGAGGAACCACAAGAAAGAAGAAACAAAACAAAAAAGAAGAGAAAAAAAAGAGCAAATAGTATGCTTCAATCTGCATTCCAACTCCATAGTACTTTCTCTGAATGTGGATAGCATTTTCCATCAAGAGACCTTTGGAGATGTCTTAGATCCTTGCATTGCTGAGAAAGGCTAAGTCTTTCAATGTTAGTCATCCGACAACGTGGTTGTTACTGTGTACAACATCCTCCTGGTTCTGCTCACTTCACTCAGCATCAGTTCGTATACATCTTTCTAGGTTTTTCTGAAATCTGCTTGCTCATCATTTCTTATAGCACAATAGTATTCCATTACATTCATATACCACAACTTGGTCAGCCATTCCCCAGTTGATAGTCATTACCCTCAATTTCCAGTTCTTTGCCACCACAGAAAGAGCTGCTATAAATATTTTTGTATACGTGGGTCCTTTTCCCATTTGTATGATCTCTTTGCATACAGCCCCAGAAGTGCTATTGATGGGTCAAAGGGTATGCACATTTTTATAACCCATTGGGCATAGCTCCAAATTGCTCTTCAAAATGGTTGAATCAGTTCACAACTCCATCAACAATGCATTAATGTTCCAATTTTCCCACTCTTCTCCAATTTTATCATTTTCCTGTTTTGTCATATTAGCCAATCTGATAGGTGTGATGTGGTACCTCAGAGCTGTTATGATTTGCATTTCTCTAATCAATAGTGATTTAGAGCATTTTTTCACATGACTATAGATAGCTTTAATTTCTTCATCTGAAAACTGCCTGTTCATGCAGGTTAAATTTTTTTAAAGATCATTGCTATTGTTTTTATTTTTATTTTTAATTTTAATTTAATTTTTTAATTTATGGAATAAAACAAGCAATTCCATAACATAGTATAATATAAAGATGACTGCACATTAAACTGAGAATCTATTATGTACAAATTACTATGCTTTTTAAATACATAATAAAGCTGTCATATAAATTTCTTTTTTTCTTTTTTCCCTTTTTTTCTTCCCTCCTTCCCCCATGCAAGAGATGGTTACTATTAGACACAAATAGTTTTATATATATGTGTGTGTGTGTGTGTGTGTGTATACATATATATTATATATATATATACTTCATTACTATTGTTTTTAAAAAGGGAAAATCTCATTTACACTTGATTGATTTTTTTTTCTTCAAGACTTCAAAATGTATGTTCACCCCACAGAAATGTTTCTTGGTTAACTGTTAGCAATGGGGAGCTGGGAGGATGAGCATAATTTCAAAAAAATCAGAATTTGAATTGGAAGGGAACTCAGTAGCCACATAGTCTAAATCACATTTTTTTAAAAATTTCCATTATAAGATACTGATCTAGTGGTCATTCACATTTTGTTTAAAGACCTTGAGGGAAGGGAAACCTACTGGTTTCCACTGAAGGCAGCCCAATGTAAAAGGTTGGGTTGTTTTTTTTTTCCTTTTCTTTCCTTTTTTGTAATGTGAAGCAAGGTTTTCCATTGCCTACTTCCTTCACTCCAATGTATTATCACTAGGTGTTTCCTATAAGACACAATATCTTTTTTTTAATATGTAAGTCTAATTGTTAGGGAGGCTTTTCCCTTGCATCAGACTTAAATTTACCTGTTTCCTACTTCCAAGAATTGAATCTAAGTCTGCCCTCTGGGGCCAAATGGGGATAGGGCCTGGATGAGGTAACTCCTTTTAGCAAAGCAAGCTAATACCTCCTCTATAACTTATAGTTTCAGAAATATAGAATATAAATATTATATATATATATGAAACATATAAATATATAAATAGAACTAGAATACAGAGAAGTTAAGTGATTTCCCTAAAGGCACATAACCTGTGTCAGACGAGGACTTGAACTCAGATCTTCCTTATTCCAAAGCCAGCTCTCTCTCCACTATACATGCTTCCTCTCTGAGGAACCAAAGAGAACACATCTACATGTTGTTGTTGTCCATTTTGTAGTCGTGTCAGACTCTTCATGATGCCATTTAGGTTTGTCTTGGCAAAGATACTGAGTACTTTGCCATTTCCTTCTCCAGT